AGGTAGAGATGCCAAGGACATGGTTGGGCTGGACTGATCCGAGGGGTGGGGGCACACCCCCCTCCCCAGGCATTCCTGTCCCGAAGTGCTGGCCCTTGGGTGGGGGTGGGGAGCCTCCCGTTGCCGTCCCCTCGGCCTCCAGGGGCCAGCCCTGCAAGCCGGCAGGGAGGCGTTCTCTGGCTGGGGCGCCTCAGAGGAGAGAGGCCTCCAGAGACTTCCAGGCAGCCTTTTATGGAGCTGAAAGTGGTTCAGAGAAACGGCAAAGTTTCCTGGAGATAACGCGAGGAACGGTTCTTGCACACTCTCCCCCCAGGGTGGCTGGGGCAGCCTGGAGCTCCCTCTCTCCCAGGACCCCTGGGAAGCGGGGTGTGTGGCCTGTGCGGTGCGCAGGCAGTGAGGAAGCGAGCGTGGTGCCGAGGCTGCAGACCGGCTCAAGCTGCTGTGGGTCACTGGCCTTCTGTCTTAACGCGGGGCCCAGCAGGCACCCCCTGGCCTTTGGGGTGGGGCCCGGGCTCAGATACCTGGGCACACCTGGGGTAAAGGTGGGGGGAGGGCTGAAGGTGACTCAGCTTTCCACGTGCATGAACTCCAGGGTGGGGCCCCTTGGCGGACGGAGGAGCAGAGCGACACCTGCCTACCAAGTCCTGGTCCGTGCCTGCACGTTTTGAACATAACTGAGACTCAGCCATGCTCTTGGTCACAAGGGGACCTCTCTCAAGATGAGAGTGACATAACTGCAGTTCAAAAAACAGAGACAGGTTTCGTGAGGTGGAGGCATGAGCAGAAGTCCAGGAAAATGTCTTTGCCCTCCACATGTCCAGGGGCCCATTTAAAGGTGCGTGAGGGGGGCTCTGCTCCCCCTGCCCCGTGTGGCCCACAGACGGGGCCTCCTGACTGACTGCACATGTGCGCACGTCTCCCACCCCCAGCGCTGGGATTTGCTTTTCCTTCGGCATCCGTGTACAGCCACGTACGCTAGAGCCTTTCCTTGAGCTGCGGTGGGTTAGGTGACGAAATCATCAGTGCCGTTTGAGGCTGGCACAGAACTGAGGTCGAGGGAGGGGTCTGAGCGAGGGTCGGCAGTGGCGCTCGGCTCTGAGGACCGCGCTCACCCTGGCCCGCTGGGCTCCTGACAACCGGGCAGTGACTAGGAGCAGTTGTTGGAGCGGCAGCGTTGAGATCTGGGACCGCCAACCACACACACACACACACACACACACACACACACACACACACACTTCAGTGGCGAGATGGGCCTCGGAGCCTGCCCCGATTCTTCCCTCCCTTATAGATGGGGTCTCGGGGTGCGGCCGGTCAGAACCTGTTGCTGGGCCGCACGGTTCCTGTGTGCTGGCCTGATTTGCCTCAATGAAAAGCTTTTCATTCCCGGCCCCCGGCTCTCAGACTGGGTGGAATGGCTCCTATTTAAAGGGGAAAGAGGTGGCGAGCCTTGTTAGGGATTTCTTTTTTGAGTCGTCGCAGTGCCCAGAAGCTGGCTTTGTCGCCCCTTCAGGGTGGCTGCCTTTCTTCCCAGCCCCCCCTTGACGGCGCCCGCTTCCTTGAACAAGGCCGAAGTTGTTTATTCTCTCGGGATGAAGTCTCACATGGGCTGTGGGGATGCGCCCCAGCCCCTGGGGGCCCCAGTCCCTTTGTGCCCAGCCCCCTCCCATTCAGCTCACCCGAGCCCCCGTTCCTGGGTGCTCAATGGCGCAAGAGGAGGCGATGGGGGCTGACAGATGCCACGCTCAGCCCTTATAGGCGCCCGGCTCCAGGCCCAAGGGCCCCTGATTAAGATGCTGAACTCTGGCCTTTTCCACCCATAATTCCATCTTGGGTGCAAAAAAAAGCAGGCTTGGGCACCTCATCGCCACTTAATCTTATTTATTTATTTCCCCCCAAAGCCCTAGTAGATAGTTGTACGTCACAGCTGCACATCCTTCTAGTTGCTGTATGTGGGACGCGGCCTCAGCATGGCCGGAGAAGCGGTGCGTTGGTGCGCGCCCGGGATCCCCACCCGGGTCACCAGCAGCAGAGCACGCGCACTTAACTGCTAAGTCATGGGGCCGGCCCTCGTGGCCACGTAAATGTCCTTACCTTAGGGGTGTGCAAGGGGCCTGCGGATTGCCCTTAGAAGGAAAAGCAGATGCTCCCTGCGTCAGTGAGCTCGTGCTGGCCCCGCAGAGGGGGCCGGGGCCCTCCCACCTATCGAGTTTCCCTGTAGTTTGGTGAGGGAGTGGGCGGCCGGCTGGCAGGTGAAGTAATGAAGTAGCGCTACACCCCCGCGGCGTCCCTGGGGGAAGAGAGAGTGCGACAAGCATGTGACCACAGGGAGCTCCTGCAGGCCGATGGGCCGCCTGGGTTCATCTTCCCAGGCAGACATGGGTCTGTGGGGTAGACAGGGGCCTCCTCCAGGAATCTGGGGAGTAGCTTTGTCCTGGGTGTGGCTTGGGCCCCTGTGCAGGTGAGGTCCCCTGGGCCTGGCAGTGCAGGACTCAGGGTTAGCGCAGAGGCAGCACCTCGGTTCCCCTGTGGGCTTGCATCTTTTATTTCATTTCTGTGAGTCAGCCACACGTTCACGAGGCTCATGATGCTGAAAGGATGCGAATGCGGCCACGTCCCCTCAGCCACCCAGCCCCTCCAGAGGCCTCTGCTGTCTTCTCCAGGGGCTGTTTTCCGGATTGGCTTTGTCGGTGCTGTTTGTAAGCGAGCCTCACAGGCTCGCCTGAGGCGCGCCCCGAGCCCGGCTCCTGCCCTTCCAGCGCCCGGGTCATGACTAGAGCGACTGCCCCTCAAAACCCACACGTCCAGCCTGGCCGTTTGCGGGACAAGCCGCCTGATACGAGGCTGGTGCTGGGGGTGCCCGGATCCCATGGCGTGTCCCCCGCTCATGGCCCCTTGCCTCTCTCTCCCTCTGCCGCAGACGTGAAGTTCATTTCCAACCCGCCCTCCATGGTGGCTGCGGGGAGCGTGGTGGCCGCAGTGCAGGGCCTGCATCTGGGAAGCGCCAACGGCTTCCTGTCCTATCACCGCCTCACACGGTTCCTCTCCAAAGTGATTAAGTGTGACCCGGTAAGTGATCGCGTGCACTGCTCCCGCACTGGCTCGCCAGGGCCTGCGGAGCACTGGGTACTAGAAACGTCTAGAAGCTGGGGGTCCGATGCTGCAGTTCACTGATGGGAAATGCCATGGCTGGTGCCAAGACCCTTGGAGGTGACGGGGAAGGGGCGGGTGCCTGCGTTCAGAGGCAAAGGACCTGCCACAGGCTGTCAGGGTGCCGGCTTTACTCTCCTCCTCCGGGGGCTGCTTTGGAAGGAGAAGCACCTCTGGGAACTTGCTGAGAGGCCAGGAGGTCCTCACAGGCTGCTGGCGTCCCCTGGGGCTCCCGGGAGCAGGCAGGGGCCATAAACCCCTCCCTGGGGAGCCGTCCAGGAAGAGGGGCCACACGGCGGGCCAGTCAATGATCCGTGCCCTAATGGGGTGTGGAGCTGGGGCCCGGTCGAGCTTTGTCTGGGTGACATTGTGGATGGCCAATAAAGAGATGCTTTAAAAGGGCTCCTGTGAGGTCTCGGGACGGGACAATGGGCCGGTAGAGACAACCTTGTTTTTTACGGCCCTATTAGAGAGGCTGCTGCTGTTACAGCCCAGTTAGTTGTGTCTTTCTTCTTACAACTGCCATTGTTTTACTCCCAGTTCTTTTCTTAAAGAATTAAAATAACAATTACAAGGGTTTGTGGCATTTGCCAAATTAGACCAGCGGGGTTGGCGGGTCAACCGGCGGCCCCCGTGGGTGTGCAGTGTGGGAGCCGGTGACCGCCTTGACCCCGCTCCAGATCGGCTCGGGCTGCCTTCTGGTGCTCCCCCCCGCCCCGCGTCCGGAGGCTCGGGGGGGCCCTAGCCGGGTGCCACCTCACTGGTGCAATTCAGGGAAGGAGGGCTAGGGGGTGAGACGGACATCTGCCTGTGCTCTGCCCAGCGCCGCTCGGCTGCCCGGCCTGGGTGTCTCCCCCCAAGCAGGAAGCTTTCTCACCCAGACACAAGGCAGCTCCTGGAGGCGGAGGGAGCCTCCCCTCTCCATCTCAGGGCTCACATCACAGGCTCAGGCGGCCGCCTGGGGGCTGGAGCATCCTTGCTCAGCGGCTGGGGGCCAGCATCATCCCCGTATCTTCCTCTCAGCTGGAAACACCACGGACAGAATGCCTTCCACAGACAATCATAGGGAATGGCTGTGTGATCCCTCGTGGGCGCTGGGTGTTTGGATCGAAGCCTGAGATAGCATCAGGAATCTTGGGTTCCACACCAGACCTTCCGGGCCTCAGTTTCCTCATCTGTAAAATGGGGCTATTGGCACCTCCCCTGCCTCCCTGATTTGCCATGATTAATACTAAAAAGGTGGCAGGGGCAGGAAAGTACCCCCTGTGAAGACAGAGCTCTGTGGAGACCTGGGGAGTCACTGTGAAGCCCTTGTGGCCCGCTCCACTCCCTTTGGGCAGTGAACCCCTGTGTCCAGCCCCAGCTGGTTGGAAGTTCAGCAGCGCCTTCCCTGTGGTGGGCCCATGGCTGAAGCCTGTTTCTGGAAGGGTGCAGGTCTGCCTTCTAGGCTGGACTGGAGACTAGTTCTGGAATAGAAGCCCCAGTATGCCATCTGGGGAGTTGGGACAGGTGGCCCCCACACCTGGACCAGCCTCTAATCAGACCCTGGGGGCCGTGAGGCCACTCGGCTGTGAGAGGCACCTCTGAGCTGCGGGGAGATTTGCCCCCAGTGAGACCAGGAGTGGCCCCCAGACTCGGATTCCTCTTCCCCATTGAAAATGCAGGGTGGTGGCCTTGAGAGGGAACCTGCAGCGGGCGGGCGCGGGGCAAGGCCAGAGCGCCGCCAGAGACGCAGGCCCGAACGGGAGAGGAGAGGACGGAGGGGGATGAACAGGCCAGGTCCCCCGGGCCACCCAACATTCGTTCTCAGTCATGCGCGGCCTAACGCTCTGACGGCCATTCATCACGGAAGGCTGGGTTCACCGCGAGGGCTGACGTGCAGAGGTTAAGTCCGAAAAGCAGAGCTCCGAGGGCCTCCGGTCCGGGATCAAATGGCTGAATTCGCCGAGGACATCGCTGGGGCTGGTGGGAACGGCGGGGCCCGAGATCTGAGCCCAGCGGAGGAGGAATTCCAGCGAGGGGCCAGGGTCCTGCTGGGGACGGGGGGCAGGCCGGGGAGGCATGGCGCGGGCACGTCTGTCTGCGTCCCTGAAGACGGCCAGCAGCCCCGTGGCCTGTGAAGCCTGTGGTCCTGAGGTGGGGTCACCATCGCCTGGTTGACCTGTGGGCTCCTGGGGCCGGGGCAGCCGGCGGCCAAATGGGGCCCATGCTGGTCGGTCCTGGGGTTTGGGGCAGAGGCTCACCAGCTTTTGGGGAGGCGGCGTTTTAGATGAGCCTTGCTCTTACAGAAACCAAGTCATGGCGTTTGGGGGACGGCCCCTCACTGTGGGCCCCTTCTGAGGACCCCTGTCTGTCTGTCTCGCCCAGGACTGCCTCCGGGCCTGCCAGGAGCAGATTGAAGCCCTGCTGGAGTCCAGCCTGCGCCAGGCCCAGCAGCAGAACCTGGACCCCAAGGCTGCGGAGGAGGAGGAGGAGGAGGAGGAGGACCTGGCCTGCACGCCCACCGACGTGCGGGACGTGAACATTTGAGGGCGCCGGCAGCGAGGGAGGGGCCGGCCCCAGGTGCTCCCCTGACAGACCGTCCTCTGCAGGACTGGTCACGACCAGAAGGGAAAGCTTCCTTCTCCCTGCTGTCGGTTTTTTCCTTTGCTCTTTCTCCCTTCCGTCTCTGACTTAAGCGAAAGAAAAAAGTACCTGAAAAACTGTCTTTAAAAAAAAGAAAAAAAAAAAAAGGAGAGAAAAAAAATAGTATTTGCATAACCCTGAGCCGGGAGGGAGGAGGGTCGTGCTACAAAAATAGAGGATTTTATACCCCATAATCAACTAGTTTTTATATTAATGTGTTTGTGTCTCTGTGTTGTAAGGATAGGCATTAACACAAGGAATGATTCTGCAGGGGAGGATTAGATTTGATTCTTTCTGTGTTTAAAACAAAAAGCATAAAAACCTTTAAAAAAAAAATAGAAACAAGTCAGCAAACCATTTTTAAAGTAGAAGAGGGTTTTAGATAGAAAAACATACCCTTGTGCTTTTCTTAAGGAGCACAGCTTTAAGGCGGTTCTCAGCATCCTGTATCTTGCTTGCTCCTGCATGTAGTCACTTTATAAGTCATTGTGCGTGTTTATTTTATTTCGTAGGTAGGCGTGTAACCTCTCCACCTTGTCAGTGGCTGGTGTGACCTCTCGGTTAGAGTAGTGTAGAGTTCAGCATCGTCGAGTGCTAATCATTTCTGCCTGTGGACCGGCCACCTTGGAGGTGCGTCGGGCACCGGCCAGCATCGTGGTGACGGAAGGCCAACCCTCCGGCTCCTAGCGTCTGCTGCTAGGAAGAGAAACCGCGATAGCAACCTAATATATTCTATTTTTGTAATCTTCATATTTTTGTAGTTGCCTGTTGATGAGATGCTGGTTTTTCACCCCACAGACCTGCAGCCTGCTCACATCCAGGTGAAATTCACAGCTCCTTTTTTGTTGTTGTTCCTTCTCAATATTCTAAACCATTCCATTTCCAAGCACTTTCGGTCCAGTGGGTAGAGGCGCTATCTTTGTTTAGGTTGTGTGCGGAGGCGGGGAGCAATTTCTTAATGGAATGGTTTGGGAATATTCACGGACTTGTGTGCGGACAGGATCGCAAGGCAAGTGCATGTCACTGTGGTGTCAGCGGAAGGGGGATGTTGGGAAGGCTAGGTTCCAGTCAGGAGGAGGAAGAAGACGTGCATCCTCACACTGCCAGGATGATGTGTTCCTTTTTCTGTAGAGAAGTTGAAGTTTTAGGGATCCTTTGGTGCCAACTGGTGTTTGAAAGTAGGGGCCTTAAAGGTTTACCTAGGGAACTCGTAGTTTAAGGGTTAGGAAGGTTTTTAAACACTAAAATATATAATTTATAGTTAAGGCTAAAAAGAATATTTATTGCAGAGGATGTTCGTTAAGGCCAGTATGAGTTATAAAGTAATGCAATCTCCCCTTGATTTAAATACACACACACACACACACACACCCCTTTCTGCCTTTGATGTTGCAGGTACAGTACAGTTTATAAAAGTCAGATCCTTTCATAGGAAAGAAAAAGAATCCCTAGAAGAAGCAGAAAAATCACGTGGATTTGGCTGATTCGGCCTGTTGGGCATTTCCCAACGTGATCCAATCTGAGGGGCATCAGAGTTACAAGGAAAATTAGGGTACTCGAAACATGTTCAGTTCCAGTAAATTCTTACCCCCTGCCCTCTCCTTTTAAGAACATTTTAGCAACCCATAGACGATTTGCACATGGTGACTACGTTCCTTTCTGTAATTGTGATGTGGGGAGTGTTGAGGTGGAGTGAGCACCGAGCGGGATGCTCGGAGGGAGGATGTGAGGGAGCGAGTGTGTGGAGGGGAGGCGCGGGGACCACGCGAGGGACAGGCTGAGGCTCTGTTTGCTGATTCGCTGCTACCGATGGCTCCCCAGCTCGTCCGGAAACAGACTGACATCGCTTCTCTGTATCTTTCACATTGTGTTGCTGCTATTGGAGGATCAGTTGTTTTGTTTTACAGTGTCATATACTGCCATGTTCTCATTATAATTTTCTCATAGAAAAATGTATGATGGATGCCTTTTTTTTTTTTTTTGTAGATTTTTTTTATGTGATCAGTTTTGACTTAATGTGATTACTGCGCTATTCCAAAAAGGTTCCTGTTTCACAATACCTCATGCTTCACTTAGCCATACGTAGACCCGGCCGTCAGGTTCTGTCTGACCCGCGGCTTCCTGCTTCGGCAAACAGACACGCGGACGAGATCCCAAAACGGGCCTGGTGGGGACGGGCTGCGGGCCGAGTTCACGCGGCCCCCCGGCATCTCTTGGGACCAGGCTGTGTCCGTTTCCTTTTCCCTGCGCCTGTTATGCTGGACTCTCCATCTGACCTGGGATTTACCATCATAGTAGTTTTTACCGCTGTATCGTTCTTTGCGTGTAGCTATGAAAGTTGCATTATTATTATTATTATTATTGTAACGAGTATGTCTTAACGTGCCACCGTGGTGCTGTGCTGGAAGACTCAGTCATTTGGGATGAGTGAAATGAATAGCTTCTGAAATCGTTCCAGTTTCGGGTGTGTTGAATCTGTTAACTATGTACTAGTGTTCTGTTCTGTTCATTACAGCATCATGCTAATTTAAAGAGACTCCAAATCTCAATGAAGCCAGCTAACGGTGCTGTGTGCCCCGGAGTCGCCTAGCACGCTGCCGAACCAAAAGGATTTGCACCATCTGCAGCCCTGCCCCAGCAGGGTCAGCCCGTGTTGCTCCAAGGCCATTGGCAGGTCCAGGACCCGCCCGCCCTGCCCTGCAGGAACACTGCTTCCGCTTACCTCAACCATTCTGGCTGCGGCATCTCTGTGTCTGAACCAAACAGGGTCCTGGAGGGACGGTCTGTCCTGGGGGGGTGGACATTGTGTGCTGATAGGCCGGTGGCGGGTCTGGGAGCACAGCGGAGCCTGTCCTGTGACCAGCAAGTCTGTGAGGGTCTCTGGTGGGTGGGCACATGGGGTCTGTGTGTTTCTGGTTGCACACCGTGGCGTTTCCCAGCACAGACATGTAACCGGCACGTTTCCAGCAGAAAACAAGACAAACGTGAAAAGTCTAGAAATAAAATTGATAAAACCCTGGTGCCTGCCTGCTTGTTTCCTGGGGTGGGCAGGGAGCGCGGGGCCTGGTGCCGCTCCTGGGCTGGGGGGTGGTAGGCAGGAAGGGGGTCCCGCCTGGGCACTGCTGACAGCAGGGCAGATCCTCCTCTGTCATGGAGGGCTGTCCTGTGTACGGTAGGGTGTTAAGCTGCATCCCTGGCCTCTACTCACCCAGTGACAGGACTGTCCCCAGTTGTGACAACCACAAATGTCTCCTGACATCACCCAATAGCCACTGGTGATGCAGAGGGAGCACGTGACACTCTCCCGGCTCGCAGGAAACCCAGACCAGGGGGACACGCGGTGGGAGGGGCCTGAGAGGAGTTGGGATGGCTCCGCAGGTGCTCCTACCACCCAGGACAACAGCTCTGGCCCCAGCGAGGTGACCGCGCTTACCTGTCAGAACCGTCTTCCAGCCCACATTCTGCCAGTTCGCTCTCCCGGGTCACTTGCAGATGGGAGAATAAAGCCAGCATTCAGTAACCCTCCCCTGGCTCAAAACTGCTGTTTGCTCTTGGTGAATCACGGTCCTGAGGCATCCCGAGCGCAGGGAGAGCAAAGCGCGTGTTTGGGTCGTGGTCCTGTGGCCTTTTACACAGACCCGGCCACCCGGGAGGCCTAGTGGGCACCTGTGACGGCCACCTCCAGGCTTCAGAGGCGCGTGACCGGCCTTGTTGCCAGCCCGTCAGAGGTGGGGACCAGGGAGCGCACCGGGAAGGCATCAGCAGGCCATGGTCCCCGCTCTGCGGGGCCGGGGCCTCTTCCCCAGCTGAGGGCCCCCTTGTGTCCTGGACTGTGGGAGAATTCAGTGAGTGCTCTGGAGCCACGAGGAAGCTTGGGTCACATGCCAAAGATGTCACTGCTTGTCAGGTCAATTCACCGTGGCCTTCATGAGGCACCTGCTGGGTACCGGCCCTGCCCAGGAAGGTGTTCCTCCTCCGGGGGCTCCACCGAGAACCCATGAGGGTGGCCGTGTTGGTTCTCCACGGGCACCGGAGCTGCTGGGAGGAGATGGGGTGTAAAGGCTGCAACTGTTGCCTTCCCACGGTAGCCTCACGCCGGGCGTGTGCGGGGCGTGAGGTAAGGCTGCCTGCCCCAGGAGCCTGCAGGGTGCACCGAAAGGGGGTCTCGCCCAGCAGGAGACCAAGGGATAGGTGGAGCAGGAGGAGGTGCCTTGAAGGCGGGGTCCAGGTCTGCACCATCATGGTGGCCCAGTGCAGGGGACCCAGGGACATCGGCGGTCTCTGTGTCCCCAGAGACCCCCCCGACATAGCAGGGGGCTGAGCGGTGGCTCTGACACCCCGAGAGCCTCGGGTTATCTTGAGGAGGGTTTCGGGGGAGGGGGTAAGGGTACGACTTGATTAGGTTCAATAAGAGTCGGCCGAGAGGAAGCAGGAGCTCTGCTCTGCTGTACGCCGGGAGGGGAGCACGCGGGGGGTGAGGTCAGCGGGGCGCTTTACGGATTTTCATGTTTTCAGGAGGGAAGATCTATCCGTAGGCTGCCAGGAGGACAGAGTGGAGAGGGAGAGGCCAGACTGGGAGAGCCAGGGCCCTGTGTAGTGCAGGGGGTGGGGGGCCAGAATGGGCCGAGCGAGGAGGGGACCGGAGTCCCCCATGATGCCGTCTCTGTGCGCAGCCCCCACGAGAGGCGTCTCTGAGGCTCCTCCTCTCGGTTATGCCACGGGCCCGGACCTCTCAAAGCACCCTGGGGCGCCTGCATCCCCTCATGGGGTGGTAGTGAAGGCCCCGTCCCCTGGGGGGCATCTGTCTGCCCCGTGTGTGCACATGGCAAAAATAAAACTGGCCCGTGAGGGACTTCTGAGACAAAGCCTCCCAGCGGCGTCCCCGCTGCCCCTCTCGGAGGCCCAAACTCCCGTGCTTACTCGGCCCACCGCCACTCGCCTGGGGCCTGCCCTGCCCGCCCGCCCCAGGCGGCCCCCCACCCTCTGCTCAAACCCTCCTGGCGCTTCCAGCTCCATCCCAGGTGCTGGGACCTGGCCCATGTCTCCCCAGCCTCACCCTCGTCTCCCCCCAGCCTCAGACTCCCCTCACCCCGAAG